TCTCCACGACGACAGCAGCGGGCCGTCGGCGAGAGTCAAGCTCGCGACCCGCCCCGTCCCGTCCCTCGCCCCGCGGCTCACCCCGCCCGCCTTCTCCCCGGCTCAAGGCGAGGAAAGGAGGCCAGAGGCAGCGCCCGGGCGACGGAGACGAAACTTCTCCCGAGGGCCCCCGGCCGAGCGAGGCGAATCGGCGGCGGCGGCGGCGGCGCGCCCACCACACACTCGCCACGCGCGTGGCGGCAACGCCTGCCTCCGCGAGGCGAGGGAGGGGGTGCCAAAATTAGAGCAAGAAGCAGCAGAATTAAGTGAGATACATACAAAGAGGCTTCGTCCAGGAAGACTTGTGCCTCGTCAGGGTAACGAGCGGGCCTGTAGTTTGTAACTCGCCGCCCCGAGTGTTTAAAACCACGGCCCGCCATGTCTGGCAAGGCCTGCCGAACATTTACTAGAACCTCGATCCCCTTTCCGCCCATCCAACCCCGTATCTGGATTTATTTATTTATTTATTTGCAGTCCCTGCCAAAGAACAACAACAACCAAAAAAAAAAATCCCCTGTTAACGAGCGGGCCTGTAGTTTGTAACTCGCCGCCCCGAGTGTTTAAAACCACGGCCCGCCATGTCTGGCAAGGCCTGCCGAACATTTACTAGAACCTCGATCCCCTTTCCGCCCATCCAACCCCGTATCTGGATTTATTTATTTATTTATTTGCAGTCCCTGCCAAAGAACAACAACAACCAAAAAAAAAAATCCCCTGTTGGGGAGGGGGCGCTCGACCTGGTGACAAAGTCATGTGGTGTTGAAGGAGATCGGTCCTCAGCTACCTCTTCACAAAAAACAAAAACGCACATAAACGCACAACTCACCTCTCACAAGGGAGCCTCTTGCTTCCTCAAGAGGCTCCCTCGAAGTTTTTGGGGTTCCCTTGCCAAGCTCCCTGGAGCCTTGGGTTAGAGGTCTGGGATTCATTCTCCAGATTTTAGCCTTTGGCTGTGAGACTCGTTTGGGGCTTCATTCTCATTCGGATTTTGAAGTGCTGAACTCGTACGCTTTTCCCCCCCAGCTGAAGAATAGTAAGGGGGGTCGTTTTAATCAGCATATTGATTTGAGTAGTGCTCAAACAGAAGTCTGCAACAGCAGCAAAAGAAAATGGCTGATTAGAGGTTCAGAAGAGTGTTGAGCAGGGCTCAGCATGCGAAGATCACATTTTAAATTAGAACTCCAAGCTCCATCAAACAAAGCCTAGCACAAAGGACAAAACACTTCCAATTAAGTTCAGACATCTGGTTTGCACACCAGAAGTAAATGAACTTCACTGTCCTTCCACACAAAGACCTACTCCTACTTTTTTTCAAGCATTCTTCACCTAAAAACAGTATAATTAGGCACGAGAAGGTTGAGCTAGAATTGCTAGAATATTTTTTTTTTCTTACCAGAGGTTACATGTCAGCCTGGTTGCCTTGATTGAGATTCTGCAGCAATAAACAATGAGGCTGTGTTGCATTGCATCCAAACTCGTCTCTCAGGTTCTTCAGCCAGTAAGTTATTTTTCTTCCAGCACTTCCTTTCCTATTTATTTCTTCCAGCAGTTCTTTCTCCGTTTATTTTATCTTGAATGATCAGTTGCAACAATCTGTGCTTTTCATTCCTCATTATGTGACCAAATTATTCTATTTTTCTGCATATTATGTGATTTATAATTTCTTCGTCTTTATTTATTCACTTTAATACTTCTGTGTTCAACACCTTTGTGAAGTAGAATTTTTTTAAGATCTTATGATAAATCTAGATTCCAGATGCTTCTGTCTTTTTCAAAGTTCAGTGTTACAACCTCTCAATTCCAAGCCATACAGTCAAACCAAGACTGTATCCTTCCATAAGGAAGACCATTTGGGCCACTTTTATTACATAGTTATGATTCTATTGTTCGTTCAGTCAAATTTCAAGTTATATTAGCTACCATACTCCACACTTTCATTCTGGATCTTTAATTATATATTTTGGGCTGTTCACTTTTTACTGATGACAGCAAATCTGGTTCTGGCAATATTCATGTTCATCATTTATTTAATTGACTTTCCTGAATAACCTAATAATGAGATACTCTCTATCAGATGTTATTGATAACCATTCACAATGATGCCAACATTTGAATCCACATACAGTGAACCCTCTGCTTAAGGAATTAATCCGTATTGGAATGGTGGCTGCAAATCGAAAAGTCTGTAGGTCGAATCTCCATTGACCTACAATGCATTGAAAACCGATTAATCCCATAACCAGTGGTTTTTATTCTATTTTTGTTCCATTTTGTTTTTTTCTGGTATGTAAGTCGATTCTCCGTCTGTAAGTCGAATCTAAATTTTGCAGCCAGAGAAGTCTGTAACTCGAAAAGTCTGTAAGTCGAGCCGTCTGTAAGTCGAGGGTCCACTGTACTTCTCTAAACATTTTCTCAGTGTGTAAACGAAAAAGCACCGACATGTAATAATTATTTCTGGTTTTTCCACATTTTTAAAATAAAAAACATCAGGCACTGGCAAAAATAAACCGATTTATAAAAACTAAGTTTCACACTCTATGTCAGTAGTAATACTACCTAGCATTCCTCAAAATCACTTTTGACAGGTGCACCACCCCTGCAAGGTGGGACAAAGGGTCAAGAATCAACCCAGGGCCCTCCTCCTGGGTGGGCGAGGCTTTAGGGTGACATAGGGGGTTGGTGAGGCTACCATGTGTCTATAGGAGGGGTTCATAGATGCTGGGGTCCCCCGTGATCAGAGCGCAGCCTCAGGATTGGCCCCCAAAGTGATGTGTCACCCCCGCGGCCCTGTAGGCCAACGGGGAGAAGTTGGAGGGGTTTGGCTGGAAAAGTGGTGGCTGTAGGCTGTCTGCGGCTGAAACTCCACAGTTGCTGAAACTCCACAGCGGTGGCTTTGGGAGCCTTCTGCGCATGCTTGCCACTCTTTGTAGAGACCGGTGTGGCTTGGAGAAGATGGAGGACAAGGAAAACCAGCTCCCTGGTACCCAGGGGCCCCCAAAGGAGGAAAGCCAAAAGGACCTGGACGCCAAAACCCCAGCCAACCCCAGAAAGTGGTACACCTTTTCTAGGTTGCTAATTATACAAATATTTCTATCATCAAGACCCTTGATGTTTACCAATGATTTCATCCGCATGCCATGTTGGACTTTGTCCAAAGCTTTCCCCTACTTGGCAAAACAAGCATGTATAACTATGTTCATGTTTCCCCCAGCACATTTAGACTATTTCGCAGTAGCAGGCATTGACATTTTTTTTCAAACAGGCCTACACGCTTCATGGTACTTTTAGTAGATTACAGGAGTTCTTGATCTCTTCCATCTTTACAATGCTTGAATCATCATTTTAGTTGTCTTACATAACTATGTTTTTTTGTTATATATGCCGCCCATCTGGCAGCCATGGCCACTCGGGGCAGTTTACAACAGATAAACAACAGAATAACAAAATAATACAATATCAGTACAAGTGGGACATAAATCAATTATCATAAAGTGCAGCCCCACGTAGAGGGCATTGCAGTAGTCTAATCTCAAGACTACCAGTGACCAAGTGTGATGAGGGACCCGGTGTCAAGGTAGGGGCAGAGCTGGGTGACCCACTTTAGGTGGAAATAAACGGAACGGACCAGAGGTGTTACCTGTGATGCCATTTATAGCGCTGGGTCCAGACGTACACCCAAGCTACACACCTCATTCTTCGTAGAAAGAGTAATTCCCCCGAAAGACAGGGAAGCACCCAGACCATAGGCACTAGGGACCCCCACCTGAAGGATTTCTGTCTTGTCCAGATGTTTCAGATATTCTTGTGCAATTCTTTGTATTTGACATCATCTTTATTTTCTATTTTTGTCTTCCATTAATTCTATTATTCTGTTATCCACTTCTTTTTAAGTAATAGTTGTACTTTTGAAGTTTTTAGTGGAAACATTTACTAATACTTTGGTTAGTTTAGAGCAAACAGCATTTATAGAAGGTATGTGTACATGTGCAATCTTACGGATGTCTTAATGAATCCCGTTGTTAGAAACAGTATGTACACTTGGAACAGTTTAATTTCTATTTCTTTCCTGCTTTTTGTGTGTTACCATTTATTTAGAACAGTGATAATACAATTACAATCTTAATTTCTGTCAATTGTAGGATAAATTTTCACCGACTCAACATTGTTGTGGCATCTCTGATTAACTAGGCTATATTTTATCTAGTTTATTAAAACAATGCTTTTTCTCTTAAATTGTAGGAATTCATAAATATGCATTTATATTACATTTGGGGGGTAACTTGAAAGTGGTATTGGCAACTAAAAGTTTATGTTCTTCGCATGTTTGTGTGATTCCTTGTCTGCCTTTATTCCATGTTTTTAGTCCACATTCACCCCACAAAATCCTGCAGTCTCGTTTCCATATTTAGTCTTCAAATCCGCCATCATGAAATGTTGGTGCTGCTTTTTATA